ATATATATATATATATATATAATATATATATATATATATATATATATATATATATATATATATATATTGTATGTATAAATATATTGTATGTAAAAATAGACATGTATGTATATATGTATATATATTGTACGTATGTATATTTGTATATGTTTATGTATATGTGTATGTATGTATGTATGTATGTATGTATGTATGTATGTATGTATGTATGTATGTATGTATGTATGTATGTATGTATGTACACGCTGCTCCACAAGAATTGACAAGATACAGAACTATCAAAAACAGCGAGTACGATAGTCCTCATACAACTGAGATGGATCATTTAACCGATAATATTCATCCAAGATCATCCGAGCTCTGTAGATTACGTAAGCCTTTATATTTATGAAACGTGCCATTGTAGTGAACAGTGTGCTAGGGATCCAGCACTTAACTAGATTGGCTTGGTAGCTCGCAGTTGAAGAAACGAGACTGCATCGAGGGCAGGCGAGGAACATTAATTCCATGCTAGGTGTACTGTGGGGGCCACCAGTTTAAAAGTCTGGTTGCATAGAGGAAGTAGAGATATATGTGTTCCGAGAGTAGGTATTTTTAATTGGGTGGCGAAACTGGGTAGTAGAATTGGAGCGACAATCGCTAGGAGGTAAGGTAAGAGTGTCTCAATCGGCGAAAGGGAAGTGCGTCCTTAGGATGGGTTCGTGCAGACTGGCCAGAAGGATTGCAGATGGGAGGGAAGCGTGCGTAGGGCAGAAAGCCAATAGCTAGTGGTTGGATTCAAAGCAATTGTGAACCCGGTGTTTTATAGGCCTGTTATCGGTTTAGGTGGAATTGCGCCAAGCGCCTGTTTAGTGCACTGCACGATTGACGACAAATCTCAAGAAACGGGAAAAAAAATACAGATTGGCATCATTACAATACTTTTTATTACATCTTCGCATCATTTTAGGTCACGGCTTAGATCTGATTCGAAATATGATACGGTCGCATATTGTGCTGTTGCATTTTTGTGGACATAAACTATTCTACCAGATCTGCAACTAGCTTGTTGGTTCTGGAGCACTTGCCCCATTCCCAGGGATATCAGAGACAGCATTTTAACATTATGATTAAATTCATTGTCCTGTGTTACTGCTCACTTCTGTCCGAACAATAGTTCGTCGCGTACTTTGTTTAGGCGAGTTGTACCAGACACATGACTTCGTCGAACGTATCCTGGGCCAGGTTGACCGGCATGCGCCTTGACCACTCCCATTCTGTATCGTGCACGGTAGCAACCCGTTGTTTTGAGTAATCGAGCTGGCGTTAGATTGAACTTGTCAAACGGCAGCCAGTTGTCGAGGCACGTGCCCATTCCGGCAACTCACTCATGGGTACACTAGACACCATGTGGTACACAGCCACGCACGTCGTAACCCACTAAACATCGCCTTCGAAAGTACTACAGACAGCATCGGACACTTTGTCGGGACTTTGTCGGCCATAGCGGTTATCAGTTCAACCATATCTGTATCGCTTACTGTATTGTAGGTATCAGCAACGCTCAGGTGACAAAAAAAGATTTTTCAAGACCAACCCATAAAAGTACACATGCGCACTCTTGTCGAACGGGCTCACACTCACCGCCCCTCGGGGACTCGTACTTGCGTGTTATCTTAACTGCACTGGTCATGGTGCTACACAATTCGCGAACATCATCAAAATCATCAATACGGACATGAAGAAAATGGAACGAAATAAAGTTTAAAATAAACAGAATGAAGCCAAACCTGGTGCATCCAAAACAAATTTCACAAATACATCAGGTTGTGGCATGGAAGACTCAAAAATAACACGATATGGAACGAATATGAAAAGGTAAATAATAGAAAGAATGTGACAATTGTTGACTCATGTAAATGCGTCGAAGCCGTGAAAACGGTAACAACGTAGTATAGCAATCCAATCCGTACAAACAGCTCACCTCAAGTGCGGGCGTCAGCAGATTATTTTCTTGGTTTTCATATCACATTGCACAATGCCCTGCTCATGCAGGCCCTGGACCGCTGACACAGTTTGAGGCGCAATCCGTAAGCACCGATTTTCCACGAGCCTCTGACATGCTCGTAAGTCTCGTTCGTGACGTGAAAGGGCATTTTAAATTGTACACAGATTGAAGTAGAGAGACACATTAGGATCATACGGGATTTTTAATTCACTACTGAATAAACAGAATGAACCCCCAAGTGAGAACTAAAGCTTTACTTTGGAGCTCCTGTCACGTATTATGCGAATACACTTACCCTGACTACTATTGTAGCTCGGAGTTGATCGTTAAGCTCTCGCAGAATACAGTCTGTACATAGCGTAAACGGATAACACAGACGTGAATTATGCATGTGATGTATATGTAGAAACAACTTATGGGGGACACATTGGGAAACGTAAGTGCCCTTTCACGATAATTGCCTGCGTGATTGATACCTTGCCTGAACAATAGTCCGATCCATCTCAAGTGGTTTTATACTTCGAGTAGTTTCCGAATTGGATTCAAAGTGCCTGCCTTGTAGGAATTATGCAATGGTGCCGTATCGATAGTGTACAAGCTGTTAGATTCGTATGTTTAATCATATCTGCTCAGTGGTTCTGTTGCCATGTCATGTCCTCGATACATAGCCCGGTGTCGAAGCAGTACGGTACTTTTGGAGCTATGTACATTGCTCAGGAAGCAACACCTTTTAGAGACTAGATATAGGAAAAATTAGGGGTTTCAACTTAAAATTAATACGGCTTCTACTGTAAGTACAAGCGCGCCTTATAAATAGTTCCCTCACAAAATAGTTCTGTTAAAAAAATGTAGCGATAGCCCTACCATTTTAAAATTTGCACCCGTTAATTTCAATTTCATTGGCTTATAGCCCACACGCGGTCAAAAGTGATGACTGAGCACCACTTCTCAATATAATCTAACACAATCAGGTATTTAAATACATGATGATAGTGTCGTAAATAAACAATTAAATGGTCGCAAAACGCAACAGCTACCCGATGAAGGCAAGGACTACTGTCAGAGTGTCAGAGTGAATTAAAGTTGCGTATAGAATTAGTGTCGTTTACCTGATTGATTTCATAGAGGTTCTCTGCATATTATTATAAATACCAAGAAGAGGTGTGTATTTATAAACAGTTGCGTTTACATACACCATCACCGCACTTGGCACCCTGAGGACAGTTCATTTTAGAATCCGCATAGCCCATCGTCATCGCTGCTATATAATTCACGATCGCAAAGTCATAAATAGCACCCCGCGGTGTGTCACTGAGGATGATCTAATGAAAAATAGTTATTCTTGTAGCTGCAAGTATACTCAGCTTAAAGTCCACACACAAGAGCCCATTAAATAATTAAGTATATCGATGTGGATGTACGCACATTTAAAAATTTATTTGGTGTGTCAATCTATAAATTGAAATAGTGATTAAGACAATCTCGGCGTGATTTTCTACATAACGCTTTCAGCGAAGTAAGTACTTTACATCACACAAGTGCACGCGATACGATCAAATATTATAACACAACCTACACATAAATACACACAACTAAGCCCGTAAAGTCGCATTACAATCAAACAGAAACGATATGGTGCTGAAAGATGATCCCGAAACGCATGTTGTGGCTCACGTAGAGGTTTGCAAATCATACACAGGTACATGCACACTGAGCGCAATGCAGATGAAGGCACTGTGTGTAGTTGTAGGAGACAGGGTTGAGCTTGCAGTACGAGTACGTGAGAATGATGAAAACACTGATTTGGAGCGAGACATGCGTAGTAAAACGGTAGAGGAGTTTAGAAATAGATTGAATACAGATGAAGGGAACCCAAGTGGAGGTCTAGACAAGGGTATAGGTATATGTACAGCAGAAGAAGTCAAATATCGTGTACACGTAAATGGAAACACTACAGCGAAGTGGCCGGTAGGCAATACATATACAAGTAGCACACACGGAAATGATTGCACACAGGAGGTGCATAGAAGAAGTACACACGAAATCCGTTCTACACCTAGAGCACATACAAGTACGACCCACGAAAGCGGCTGTGCACAGAGAGTGGGCCGCGGAGGGCCGTGTACTGTGGTACTGACGGTGACTGCAATCCCAGTACAAGTGAAATCAGATAAAGACTACTTGAAACACGTCCGAGTGGGTGGGAATGTCGGGTCACGTATAACCGATGAGCAGAAGGTGTGGATGTTTACTCTTCTTTCGTGTGCGCGGTCGGAGCTATAGGTTTAATTGTCGAGGCTTTGAGTTCAGGCCGACAGTTTGTGTGCTTGAGTGTTCTATTGGACTATTAAGAGACCGTGTGAGGTTTTACTTGTCTGTTGTGTATATGTGCGCGGGTGGATGTGGGAGGGGTATCAGACGGATAAAAGCAGTCTCTGTTTCATGCTAGTGTATTTTGTGCTCGAGTGCCTATCTAACGCTCCTATATAACTAGTAGCCTATAACTACATCTGTGCATATGTGTGGAAGCTGCGTTATTACGCAGCCGCCGTAAAGTTGTGTGACTAAGCTGGAGCGGCAAAAAAAGCTAGACTAACAACCTACGTATACATATGCTCCACGTAGAAGATATCTTTTCAGCGCTCGTGGCCACACGTATACGTTGTGTATAGCGTGAGATGTCCATGACCTGTTTCATGATGATTGAGTATTGCAAGAAACCCCTCGAGGTTAACCTTATAACGTGATAATTGTCACGTGTAGTAACTCAATTATACGTAACTCTTGCTGATATATTTCGCTGCCTATGATCACAGACTCGGATCACAGTGGGTGATATGCAGACGCTTGGGTGCAGCAACGGGGATCAGGTCATAATCAGGAAGTTGAGTATAGATGACAATAGTATGGATACTTGGGAAAGTGCTACTATACTCCTACCAGCCAATCTCGGTACGTGCGGACAAGTTGACCAGTCGGACGCTCTGTGTGATTGTGATATATACATATGATCTAAACATATTTGAACATATCCGCGCATGTACAATTGTATGCAGATGTACTAGTATTGGGTACGTTTGTTTTACAATCAGCCCTGGGGTTTGTGTTCCAATTTCGATCTAAGTGGCGACACAAGTACGGTTTTTCGGAACAACGTACACCCTTATCAGCATGCACTACACCCCTACTGACACCGCCTCTCGCACTCACAGCGTACTAGCAGAGTCATTTAAAGTCACGTGGTGATCCACTTCACGCGAGATACATGACCAGATCCCATGTCGTGAATCACATCTGTATACTTATCGACTGTTGTTTTCGCGTGTACAAGTACATGCAGACTGTGCGCAATACATTGTTCGCTCGTGTGCCTGCATGCGGATGTGGTTTTGCATACAAAAGTCATTTTTAAGGTCGAAATATTTTTTTCCGTACATCGGTCAGTTGTCGAGCGTAACTGGGCGACATAGCTGAGGTGCAGTTGGCCCTTATTCTTAGACATGTGTACGACGTAACTGAGATGGCTTGTTAGTTGTTCGTATGCTCGTCTAGCGGTTGTCAGTGTATTGGTTTGCTGGAGTTTCCCCGTGAAAGGCACTTGGACAAAAAGAGTGAATGACACCAAACTGTTGCAATGCATACTGTCTCTGTACGAGTACCGTCCTTGTAAAATGTTCGCTTGTGCCTGTGTCTGTATACTGTAATCGCGTGTGATGGCAGACTGTGTAACGAGCTTGTAGGTGTACATGCAGGACTCAAAGTACATAAACCAGGGATCTTTTTAATTAAAAAAACAAGACAATGCATGGGGAAGTGTACAATATTTCTCAACATGTATATATATAAACACATAATCATACATATAATACTGAATCTGCGCTTACGCACTGTAATATATATACAGGGAATGTTGACTTACCACCGGCAGAGGTGGTCTCCACTATTTTGTCGGAAAGATGGGTGTGGGAGAATGGACAGAGTATCAGCCTGCCCACAACTAGCGCCGGAACGTATGTGAGTTTTTCTTTGAAATTTCGGATCTGCGTTATTTCGACTATTATACAGTCTACTCCTTGCGATCGCGAGTATGTTTTGTACAATATACGCTAGGGATTTTTTGGCTGTTATTTTTCTTCACTCATGAGCATACAAATAATTAAATGCCCTTATGTACCCATATATGAATGTTGACAGGGAGGTTGTCCGGTCTTAATGTTTTGTATTTCCAACCCATGCTATACTGTACTTGCATGGATTAATGCAATACCTTTGGTTGATCTGTTTGTTTGTTGTGTGAGTCACCCTTTGAATGTGTCATCGCATGTTGCATTTGGCCATGTTCGAGATTGCAAATCCTGAGTAAGCGCTATTTGCTTAGTTTATGCAAGTGGTTGTGTTTCGTCGTGTTGGCGATCTATCATGTATTGCCACGATGCTAACATGATTGATGTATGACCTTACACACCACCCGTGCCCGTGCCTTCGTTTGATATGGTTGAATACATGCAACACTATGTGGGCATGTTCCAAAACTGTATAAACATCTAAATCTAAAGGACTTAAGACGGATTTGATTCTCTTAGAATTGGTTTTTGCGCTTAAAAAGTATTGACTGCATGGCCGTTAAACGTGGTGTTGTAGCCGTTCGATGATACACATCCTTCATTTCGAATACCGACTTCTGTTTCTGTACAGTTTTCCGTTGCGCAGTGTCATGGTATGCTCGGGCGTGACAATACTATAAGTTCAACTTTCGTGACAATAATATAAGTTCAACTTTAGTCATCTCCATCTGTAATCGAATCTCGACTTTGCAGTGTTGTGGGAGAGATTGTGTGCAGGCGGCGGAGGAGCAACAATATGAAACACAGCCAATCAAACGTGGGTACAAACACTCAGAAATCCATTCCTTCACAGTGTGCACACATGCCTGGAGATGTGCAAGCGAATACACTGTCGAGTGTGTGCACATGCACATGTGACTTAGACGCCACGAAAGGATGTACCTGCACGTGTTTGCGCAGGGTTACATGTGATGAGTGCGCCGTGGATTGTATGGGAAGTGCTACAAATAGACACTATACTACTAATAGGCTGGGTGCTGTCAATCGAATTGGTACGATTGCCGATGCCACGCGAATATTTGTGTGTGTTGAAGGGGTGGCAATGCAGCAGAGGGGCGGCTTTGCGGTGTACTTACCCCCCAGACCGAAAGGTAGGTGCAGACCAATTCAGGGTGTTATCCTGGTTGACACACGTGCATGTGTAGTGGAGCACACAAACTCTCCTTGTGTGAATGCTCCACAATCTAGGTTTGCGCCGACGCCAAGTACTCTGAAATGAACATCCGTTTTATTCGGTACAATGTTAACCATTTTTCTGTTTGCAATGGATTACGAGTATCAACTTTGAATGTATATTTGACAAATATCTTTGCTCCTAATCAAACAGGCAAATATCTCACCGACTAGATTTTACTCTTGTATATCCACCAAAATCCAGAACACCACAAAGGTTATTTAGGGTCGGAAATAATCCAACCAAGCACAGTGAATTTTGCCACAGTACACCAATTACTGAAGGAGCGGATGGGCTTCTCAAACGGCCCCTCGCGCACGGACTTTGGCTTCTCGACACCCGCCAATATACTTTTATCTGGTATGTGTTTAGCTAGGTCTCAATTCGTGTATGTATCTGCATGTATACTAACATACAACATACATGCATGATATACCAACGCGCATATTATAAGGCGATTCCGGCTTTGGCAAGCTGCCGCATCGGTTTCATACGCACATGAGACCTACAAGTACCTGTGGCAGTTGTCTCTACGAGCGCCACGGCTAGAAGCATTATCCCTCAAATTGTAACCTGCAATACATGTCACTTTGTAAGTAAAAGGGATATACGGTACATTCCTGGCGTCATTCAATCAGCTCATTGGCCACTGTTACATCTCATTGTATCCCATTACAACTCATGCGATGCTAGGCGATGCCGGCATAGGCAAAACGGTCGCAACGCTCTCGTACTCACTGAACACCCTGCAAGTACCTGTAGTAGTGGTGTCTATGAGTACCATGGCTAAACGACGATGGAATGCTATGATCACCCATCCCCTGTCTGCGTCAATCAAGGATGCGTTTCATGCAGCTGAGCAGTTGTCTGAGTGTGTGCTACTGCTGGATGACTTGGATGCTCTGGTAGTTGTTAAGGGTGCCGAGGAGAGCGGTGTGCCCATATTACAGGTACGGTTGTTCGTGCGTATGTATATATGTATATATATATATATATGAAGCTTGATGCAGTGTTACGTACGTATTGAATATTATACTAAATAATTGGTTGTGTCGTTGCGATTAGATCCATAGGCTAAGGATTGACCTGGCCGCTGTAAAGCGGGGCAAAATATGCACGAAAGAAAGTCTCGGATGTAAATGTAGGGCGACGAGGAAGGTCGTCCAGGTCTATTCCTGTGTGTAATCTTAGCTATTGTGTGTATTTATGGAGTGATGTTGCACGCTCTGATCATCACTGTATTAACTAGAAATCGAGACTCTCATCAAAGTAACGCTAGATGGGACATAGTTGCAATTAGTATGTGGAAGCAATATATCTGGCTGAAGTAACTTGCAATATACGTCTCTAAGTGCTCACAGATCGCATTACGTTTTATGTGTCTTGACTGATACACATATGCTAAAAGCACCCATGCTGATAGTGTATCTCCTCCATGCACATGCATAATCGCCTTAGGAGCAACTCGATTTGGAGAGGGTGTTGGTGGATGTGCTCAAGCGCAATGAATACGGCGACGGCAATGTCAGGATGCGTGTGGTGGGAATGACCCAGGTATCTCAAGCGTATTCAATAATTTCACGTATCCTGTAGACTTTTTATGTTTGATATGCTAAGAAAGTATCGTCGACTTGTTTACACTCGAGTACGTTTCCGCATTCGTGTGTATGTGCAGATAGGTTGTATTTTTGCGCTAGAACTGCAGCTGGAACTACACAGATCCTCTTGCTTGAAGTCTCGTTTCATACACACGTGTCTGATCGAGTTTTATATCTGTGTCTGGCATGGAGGTCCCGCACTCAATACTATTACGCGCTTTTTTATGATGGTCTCCTATTTTTCTATCAGCGCGAGTGTACAATGCCCCTTTGCCAATCATTGAGTACATAGACGACATAACCTCGTTCGGTGTATCACCTATACTATATAT